CATCTCAAAAGCCAAATGTCCTGAACATTCCACAGGAGTACAGAGCTTTTAAAGGGTGGGTTCTCAGCTTCAGGCAATTACTATTCAACTATAGTTGATGATTCTGATCATCCTTCTCAGCTGAAGACAATCTTGTGACCTCCCTTTACCAGGTCAGGGCTCAGCCATCTCCTGTTGCACAAATAAACAAAAGACTAACCCTGTCCCTCCCAACCACTGGCCTGAGGCAGGGATGCAGGCTTTAGTTTTCAAAAAGGAGCAGAAGATGTTTTAAAGAGACAGAAAATATTTTTGCTGTTTTTTCCAGGCCACTTCCTCTGTTACAGGACAGGAGTCTGGCTTAAGTTGCCTGAGGTCACAGACCTTTTATTCAGATCCAGGTCTCAGTGCACTGGCAGTGCTGTTCCCACCAATTAGACTGGCAGGTGGAAAGATGAACAAAGCCTTCCTCATAATCACTCACCAATATAGCAGCAATACCAAACAGATAATTAGTTAACAAGGGCTATGACACAGAACAAGTAAATGCGCTCTAAATGAAAAACTTTAGGATAGGGATGAAGTAAGAGAGTCATTTTAAGAGCTAGCAAATTCAGAGAGCATTTGTTCCTCTGTGGACATAGACCAGAGTTTTGGGTATGTTAAGGTTTTATAATATGTTATGTACCTTGGAACTTAATTGTATTATTGGTTTTTCAGAAACACTGATTTTCATTTATGTGACTTTAAGCTTGCTAAATATTAAGCATGCTTTTTTTCTTCCAGTGGGGTCTGGCCAAAGGCACGGAAGTGGGGCTCTCTAAAACTGGTAGAGGCCTGGCCTTGATCACCAAATGGGGTCCTCCACTTCCCAGACCCAGAGTCCCCTTGAGGAAAGACCCTATTTACTACACTGCCCAAAAGGCCTACTCTAAACTTTACTCTTAGCCTTCCCCAGAGGGACCTACGGTCATTCACCAGTGTGACTTTGCATTGGGGAAAGGGTACCCAGACTTCTCAGGGACACTAGACTCGGTTCAGAATTGACTTTTTCTGGGGACCCAAAAAGCCACTGTGATCCACCTGTCAGAGTGTGGGTGTCCAGGCACTAGGTGATAAACAGTTTTGGCTCAGGTCAGCTCCTGTTGTCTGTTCATTCCAAAGTTCCTGTCCTGAAAATTTCCTTTAAAGTTTTATGTATTTATAGAAGTTGGGTACTTTGTGCCTTTCTCTGTCTTTGGGCTGGTTGGTGCAGTATTTAACAACAACAAAACACTTATAAAATGGAGTTAAGAATTTATATTATGGCAGCTGTGTTTCATTTTGCTGAGTCATTGAACCTATCTGTAAATAAGCAAAAAAACCCTATCCAAGTTCAGGGGAAAAAACCACCCTTGGAGTTGATTCTGAGTGTGAGCAGATGCATTTCTAAAACACTAGTGGAATCCACTTCAGCTGCTCCCTTGTGTCAACATTAAAGGCGAAATCACAGTTGGCCTTCCTTATCTATGGGATCCGCATCCCCTTCATTCAGACAACCAAGGATCAAAACCATACAAAAGAACTAAAAACAAATAAAAAACCCAATACAGTATAACTATTTACATAGCATTTACATTGAATTAGGTATTGTAAGTAATCTAGACATGATTTAAAGTATATGGGAGGATGTGTATGGGTTATATGCAAATTCTGTATCATTTTATATTAGAGACTTGAACATCCTTGGATTTTGGTATCACAGGAGGTCCTGGGACCAAATCCCCATAGATACTGAGGGACAACTGTATTTGCTTTTGCATATTTAGAGGAATTGTTAAATTTTTTTAAACCTGGTGTTTTGTCTACGGATGAGAATTGTTGGGAGAGATCCAGGGGCGCTTAATTTAGTAAATGGCTTTTGAAAAGCTTTTCTCTAGATAAAAATCATATATACGTATGTGTTTTAAATAGCACTCTCACAATCAGACTGAAACAACCTCTTGTGTGTTAATCTTTCCCTCACTCATGTCCTCAGATTACAAAAGGCCTCCCTGCTAAGCACCCTGAGCTCAGGTCAGTGTGGCTGCCCCCTCCCTACCCTGGGCCAGTCACCCACCCTGGTTCAGGTAGATCAAAAAAACTGTAATTTTCTTTCAATTACCTCTGCTCTCAATGTTGTCCTTCCCAAAGGAACAGAACATCTACCAAAGCAAGCACTCTTTTGAATGCCACTTCTTCGAAGCACTCTGAAGTCATATTCCCTAATAATTCAGATAAAACAGCAAAGTTTTATTACAACTTTAGACATTTTTCTAATCTTGTATGATAGGAGAAATAACTGTTCGTATCAGGGATATCACAAAAATATTGTTCCTCTTCCCCACTAAAAAAGCAAAACATGGTAGAATTCTTTTGCCTATTTAAAGTTGCCACTCACCCCATACTTCTCAGAGCATTGCAAACGCACCCCCATCTTTTCTGCTTCCTCTCTCCCTTAATCTCTAGTTCAATACACTCCATTATCCTTAGAATAACCTATCAACTTGACCTAGAATATTATTGCTTGCAAGATATCAATAAATGTGAAGGACTCCACTCCTTCCAGCCTAAGTCATAACCAAAGACAGGAAGGAAGGGTTTGAAAGGACGAGTTGCGCTATGGTTGGGTGACCACTGCATTTCCATCTATTCATACACCTAAACAACTCCTAACACTCTCCAAATAGCTGAAATCAAAACACAGTACTCCTTGAAATGCTGTAGCTCCTTGATCCAGTTCTTCCTTCGCCCAGTTCTTTGGCATGGCTATAACCAATAAATGGCTTAAGTGCCTTCCTGCTCCAAGTGTGGCCTGCAGATCAGTGGACTCAGCACCACCAGGGAGCCTGCTAGAAATGCAATCTCAGGCCACCCTAGCTCTACTGATTAGAATTTGCATTTTAACAAAATCACCAGGTAATTCAGATGCAAATTAAAGTTTGTACTATGTACCAGTCAGAGTCATTATCATATAAAGTGAGTTATGTGAATTATAGTGCTTTCATGGAGAATAACCTGGAAGTCTTTGATAAAAATATATAGACAATGGTCTCCCCTTATCCATGGGGGATACGTTCCAGGACCCCAGTGGATGCCTGAAGCCTCGGAGAGTACCGACCCCTACATATACTACACTTTTTCTTATACACACATGTACTTATGATAAAGTTTAATTTTTAAATTAGGTACTGTAAAAGATTAACAGCAGTAACTGGTAATAAAGTAGAACAATTATAACAATGTACTGTAATAAAAGTTATGTGTATGTTTATATCTGGAATTTTTTGGACCTTGGTTGGCCACAGGTAACTGAAACTATGAAAAAGAAAACCATGGATAAGCGGGGACTACTGTACCCTTTATCGATCAGCCCTACTCTCAGGAATCCTATCTGATATAAGCAACAGCAGATGTAAGGCATTTGTTTATATGTAAGGAATCAGTTTATTGCAACATCATTTATAGTGGCAATGTAGAAAAAACACGTGAAAGGAGGGAGAGGAAGAGAAAAAAGGGAGGGGATCCAAGCCTCTAAACAAAGCAAAAGTCCATCAAAAGCAGACACCCATCAAGAGGGGAAAAGTTGAATAAACGATGGTCCATCCACACCATGAAGTACTGTTTAGCCATCAAAAAGAATGAATTAAAGTTATACCAGTTAGCTTGAAGAGACTGCCATTGCTAAGGAAGAAAAGCAGGAAAAAATCGGGAGAAATCTTAGCATTTTCATAAAATAATGGCAACCTCCCCACAAACAGATGTGGTGATTACCTGAGCAAGTACAAAGAGTGAAAGGATATGTGCTAGGTTGAGAACTTGGGTGACCTGAGAGAAGAGAGGAGTGAACCAACCAAAGTGGAAGAGTGGAGGGAAAAGAGAGTACACTAAGTAAAAAGCTAAGAGGCTGATGTCACTTAAGCATTTGGTAACACTTTATGTTCTATACTGACAATTTAAAAATTAAACACAAATGGTGAAGATTAAAAAATAAGAGATTCCCCTGAACAAGCATACAGAAACTGACTCTTCTTCAGAGTAGCTTCCTTAGGGTTGCTTGATGCTTCTAAAAGGAAAAAAAAAAATTATCTTCTATTAAAACATTTAGCTTGCTTCACTTAGCCATTCCTAGGGGGGAAGTGGGTGGGGTCTCCCCAGCTCCTCCCTGTGTATCACCTGGTGCTTTGCTAGAGTACTCACACAGGATGGAAAACCCAGCGAGACCTGCCAGACACAGTGATCAGGCTCCAGCAATAGAACAGCAAAGAGGGTAACATATGGGAGGTTGAGGACATCAAATTTTGCCCCCTGACAAATACACTTGCAGTTGACCATGGTAGCAACCTCAGTGAAAATGAAGAACTATTTGATTTTTACCTTCCATATTGATAAAGTGTATTAAGTTACCTATCAATTTCTTTCCAATCTAAAGTAAAAATTTTTATATTTACTTCTACCTAGCAGTTTAATGCTTCCCCCCAGCCCCACTTTCTACTGAGATACCTCATGCCACATTGGTTCTTCTGCTTTTCTCTACCCCAGCCTGTTACCCTTAAAGATGAAACAAAACAAAAACTTGTTTTCTTCAGATTGCCCCAATACATCAAAACACCAAAATTGATAAAAGTTTAACACCACAGCTATAATGTGATTCATTTCATAAGTGAAGAAAAGTTCAATGTTTATCTTTCCCACACTGATTACAAAATACTTGTCCAATGGACAAGCTCGAACCACTCCACCAGGAACCTTGATGGCCCACAGTTCTGGTCTAAGTCTAAGGCAGACAGAGAAGGGACTAATCACATCAGGAGGAATATTATACTGAGAACTTCAACAAGCTGCTCAAAAGGTCTGCAGTGGGATAAAACCCTTGACTAATGGCTAACCAGTTTCAAAATGGTTAACTAGTAACCATAGGTACCTATGTTAACTAGTAACATCGGTACAAAGCATGTATGTACCTATGTTACTAAAACTGTCCCTTCTCCATTTCAACCCAGGCTCTATGAACACATCCGTGATCTCAGCCTTTTTCTCTTCAATGATGTACTGCTTATTTCTAGTCGGGGCACATCTCATACTCCATTTGAAAGGACTTCAAAAACCACCTACCAGTTCATTGCATCAGTGGCCCTTCATAGGATATTTGTAGAAGATATTCCAGATTCCAAGTGTATGTATTCTTTTCCTTCCAAGAGACAAATACTATAGCTATATTACACAAAGCTCATTAACCGATAAAAAAGTAGGAAAAGGACTGGAATTATAATTTACCAGTTAACAATTTCCCAAACATTAGGATTTCATAAAATAATGTGAACTTTCATCTACCTGTGAAATAGCAGAAGACAGGAGTACTGGCATTGTCAGACATGCACCCTGAACATTAGAAAAGCGGCTTTCAAAAACCACAAAGGGAGGCAAGACCTCACATTATCATGAATTCTTTGAAGCAGTCTGACAAGAAAGCTGGAGCTCTTAACCACTATTCTATACTGTCTGAAGGTGCTACAGCTTTGAAGCATATTTTAGATATTTATCTATTACTTTTCCATTCTACTGGGACTAAGTATTATTACAGATCGGATTGTACCTTTTCTTCCTTAAGTTTGCATTTAAATTGGGAGTTGTTTTCAAATGAAGGAATCAACATATTTGTAAAGGATGCTTAGTAACTTAAACATTCCATTTATAATAATTGCAACAGAAATATCTGTCATAAGAAATCCTACTTAAAACTATTATACTTATTTTTAGTTATTATCCTACACTCTACTTCCCAAGCTTAGAGGATTCATATCTCTTTCCTATATTTCTGTTAGGCCAAACAATGTGAATGTAACACCTCCCATTCTAACATTTTCACTGCATGTAAAGGCAGGATTTAAAGTTAAAGCTGGAACCAAGACCTTAGAGAAGTAACCAACCCCTAACTAAAAGGGCTGCTTCCTAATGGCTTCAGTCCATTCTAAATCTGATGCTGAGAAAAAATGAACACCAAGTGTGGAAATAAATATTTCCACCTAGAAGACAAACTCAGATAAAAGGAGTTAGTTACCTATAAACCACTGAGTATGGTTAAATAGTGTATGAAATATGTCTCTTTTAAGTTCCCTCCCACCATGATAATCACAACACTGCTATGTAACCTAACAGATAGTGGGGTACTCAGCCAGGTAGTGGCTTAATTCTGTCACTGGCCCTCATACCAAGGTTGTCTAGGTCTAGTTTTCAGCATCTCTACCTACAATAACTATTAGTAAAGTCTGTCACCAATTCCGGTTCCTTCTAGAGTGGTTGAAACAAGGAATTAAAGAACATTTCATCATCTATCGGTTTTTAAAATAACTGCTAATTATAATTAACTATGATATAAAAGCAATACTTTATATTTGAATTATTCAGTAATTTTAGGACATTACCACATTTGTATTTGTTTTCAATCTCTTTTTAAATTTCAAAAATTCTTAAAGATGACTTAATTTTTGAATTTTAAAATATCTTCTTTTGATTGTTACCTGCAAAGATTAATTAGCGTACCTCAAATGCTTTTTACAGATGTCAAGAATGCATTTATTCTTCAAGGTCCAAAGCATGAATGGATTTGTGCTACAGAGGTAGAGGATGATAAGTTCCTATGGCTGTCAGTACTCCAAAATGCAATCAAAAGTAGTATGGAGAAGTAAAATCAAACTTAAAGAAAACATCAGGGGTGCCAATTCTCCCTGGCAAAAACAGTCAACATATATTTTCTGTTCCAATGAATACCCAATAAGAAACAGAATGATTATCGGTCAAGGATGATGAGAGGACAAACTAGGATGACCTATGAGGTTCCTTCCAACTTTAAAACTTTATTATCTATGCTCACTTATGTAGAATGTATCATAACAACAATATAAGGCCCAAAATTTGAACTAGTTCTCTTGGCAGTTATATTCATGGATAATATTACTTAGAGTAATTTGACTGTTGTGATGAAACCTAAGATAGAGCAAGTATACTGTGTAAAGTTTTGTTTTATCATCTAATAAAAAATAGAAGCAGAATGAAAAGTGTTTTTGCTTAAATGATCTGTCTAGAAAAGTATTTTAATGTGTTGGTAATTTACCAATCATCTATAACATGTTCATGAAATAATTATTGATTTAAAAATATTGGCCGGGCGCAGGAGCTCATGTCTGTCTATAATCCTAGCACTCTGGGAGGCCGAGGCGGGAGGATTGCTTGAGCTCACGAGTTCGAAACCAACCTGAGCAAGAGTGAGACTCCGTCTCTACTAAAAATAAAAAGAAATTAGCCAAACAACTAAAAATAGAAAAAAAAAATTAGCCGGGCATGGTGGCGCGTGCCTGTAGTCCCAGCTACCTGGGAGGCTGAGGCAGTAGGATCGCTTGAGCCCAGGAGTTTGAGGTTGCTGTGAGCTAGGATGATGCCATGGCACTCTAACCCGGGCAAAAGAGTGAGACTCTGTCTCAAAAAAAAAAAAAAAGAAAAATATGTATAAGAAATATAAATGGCAACCTACTAAAAAAACTTGTCATATATATCCTTAACATGAATGTACTCTTCTAGAGAGCATCAAAAATATACCACTACAAAGTATTAAAAAGTTTTTTGTAATTTTTAAGTGTTTTTGTTTTGGGTAGCAAAACTAAAGTCTTAGATCTTCCAAAAAAGCAGCTTTAAAAATATTTTTGACGGCCGGATGCAGTGGCTCAGGCCTGTAATCCTAGCACTCTGGGAGGCCGAGGCGGGAGGATTGCTTGAGCTCACGAGTTCGAAACCAACCTGAGCAAGAGCGAGACTCCGTCTCTACTAAAAATAAAAAGAAATTAGCCAAACAACTAAAAATAGAAAAAATTAGCCGGGCATGGTGGCTCATGCCTGTAGTCCCAGCTACTTGGGAGGCTGAGGCAGGAGGATCGCTTGAGCCCAGGAATTTGAGGTTGCTATGAGCTAGGCTGATGCCATGGCACTCTAACCCGGGCAACAGAGCAAGACTCTGTCTCAAAAAAAAAAAAAAAAAAAAAAAAAAAAAAAAATTTGTGACATTGTTAAATTAGAAAGCAATTGAAAAAAGCAATTTTTAAAAAACAAAAATAAATGGAAACCTAGCAAAACTCGCCTATAATGGAATTTAGCTGAGTAAAAATAAAAAAAGACAGTTCTGTTTCAACCAAACAGCAAACTAGGTGTTGAGGAGATTCCTGGGCTTTTAAAGCCTTCATTTGGTTATTCAACAAACTGAAGCCATACTGTTCGCCACTTGGAAATTTTAGCTGATATGTACAATAATATTTTTACCTAGTTGTTGCTACGTGAAAGTTATATTAATCTTGGAAGCTTTAGGTTGTCACTTTCCTTTTTCCTTCACATTTCCATTTAAGGTAATAAAATTGACTGGTCTAGTCCAGGATTATGAACCTAGGCTATTTAAAAATTTTCTTCTTTCAGCAATGAAAATAAAAATTCCTAATTCTTAAACGTTTAAATCCTTGTTTAAAAATGTACAAAATTACTGTGTTCTATTAAGATAAAATCACACTTATGATTCTGCTAAGATATAGCCATGCAGCTTAACATCTATGATCCTATAGACAGAATAAATCTTAAAGGGAATATCTGCTGTTAGTCAGCAGTGAATGCAAATTTACAAATGTGATCAAAATGTATCTATCACATAAAGTAAATTCTAACACAGAATAGGGCATACTCCAGAAACGCTTTGTTAATAGGAAAAACCTGTCTATCTTCCAAAACAAAAAAAAAAAAGTGAGAAGATGGTATTGGAAAATAATCTCTGTAGATTAATAGAGTTAATAGAGAGTTAAGTGCATAAATCATGCAAGAAGTGATGATGTTTCCAAGTAGATAGTACTTATGTAGTGGATTCACACTTCCCTTCACCGTGAAGGACAATTAAGAAAGGCCTATCGTGATAGCTACTTTTAAGTTTACATGACTACTGCTGAATTAACATCTCACGCAAAATAATTCTAAGTTACTGATGAAACTGATCAAATATTCACAAAGAAAATACAAAATCTGACATGTTTTATATTTGTCGCAAGTTGACATGTAAAAGAGGTCTGAAAGTACCATGTGACTCCTGAAGGATGTTGATTACTGCAGAGAGGAAGACTTTTCTAGTAAATTAGCTTACAGTGAAAACTGCCTTATCCAATATAGTTCTTTAAAACCAAAAACTAAATAGGAAACTCATTTTAAAGATACTTTACAGAACAAACATAGATGCTTTATGTAAAATATTAAACCTAAAAGAGGACAAATTGACAGTTTATATTTCTTTTTTGCAAAGATTTCTGAGCCTGTGGCTGGCTTGAGATGTAAATGGGATGTCCATTCTGTAAATCAAATCAGCGTGTGGTTTTGGCCATACAAATATAATTAACCACTATTATGTATTCCTGATGCTATGGAACAGCAAGGGTAAGGTGTGCCAACAAACACAATATACCCGCCAGAAAAAGTCATCCTGACCCCTTTTATTGTTGAAATTAAAAAATAAAAGATACTTAAATACAATGGTGAACATATAGGGCAAAACAGAATCATAAAATTTAATGTTGAATTATGCAGTGAGCTGAATGTTTGGGTCTCCAAATTGGCTTTGAACCCCAAATCACTTAAAAATGGTTGTGTTCACAGTTAACGGCAATTGGCTTATAGGTGAGAGAATGGTCGAAGTTGTTCCAGTTGAACTTCCAGGGAAATTCTCTCCTCAAGAACATCCTGAAAAAGATGCAAAGACCAAGTTATGTTTCAAAGTATATAATAATGAAGACACATCTAACAACAGCTCCACTTCAAGAATACAATTTAAATTTGTCAAGAAGGTTAAGGGAAAGCTGTTTCTATTTTAAAAAGTGTACTTCACTTCAGATAGTTTCTTTATATATTTATAATATTAAAATATGATCCTAGTAATATAAATTTTGTTAATATATGAATGAGGGTAATATTTTTTGTCTAATTAAAATGTCAATATTTGCAACGATGGGTATTTTTAATGTATGTGAATTTTGCATTAACCTTGTCCCTGAATTAACTGTAGATAAATTGTTAACATAGATTCTTTCCCCTAGTAATAATATCTGGTTATAGCAACTCCTGGATCTCATTTTGAATTCCAGCTTTACAAAGAATAAATTAATTTTGCATTCAGAATTTTTAATCACTGTTGATTGGGGGCAGTCTTTTCAGATAGCCATCAAATTCTAACTTATTTATTTTCCTTTTATTTCTTTTCTCTATCATAATGATAGTAACTTGTTTTAACCAGAATTACCTCTTCCTATTTGGTACCTCACTTCCTGTTTTTCATTCTCAGAGTTCATGAGAAAAGTGATTTATAAAATAGCTTCTACATACTTGCTTCAATGGTTTTCCTTAGTTCAGAAAAACATGCATTAACAAAATTTGCATCTTCAAGGTATGATAGGTATGATACTAAGTAAGCTTGTCCTTACGTTTTGCATTCTTCCTTTACAATGGACTAAATTCATAATCATACAACTATAAACATGTTCTCCTTTGATCAAAGAGTTATGCAAGAATATAATTCATTCAATAGACATTTATCAAATGCCTAACATATGCTGGGTTCTGAAGAAAGAGACAAGGTAACTGTAAGTTTATTTATGACAGTCCCAGTTTACGCCTAATGTTTTGACCTAAATACTAACACAACCCTCCCTCTTTTCTCTCAAACGTTTCTTGGTTTGGACAATATAGTATATAGTCTTCCTAAACAAAAATGATTATGATTCACCCTCAATGAGTTCAGTTTAGTAGGATAGACAGACAAATGTATCATAAATAATAATTCCAGGACCCTAACTCTAACCCTGCTCCTCATCTTTGTGGTTTAGAACCTTGCTATATTCAAAGTGGGGCCAACAATCTTCCAGCATCTCCATCACCTGGAAGCTTATTAGAAATGCAGAATTCTCAGGTCCCACCTCAGACCTACTAAATCAGAACCTGCATTTCAACATGACCCCAGATTATTTGTATATACATTAAGGTTTAAGAACCACTGATTTATAAGACATAGTCCTTAATAATGTTGATGAACCGTAAGTGATTCTGGGAGTAATTTTTATTCATAGGGATTCAAAGAAATCATAGTTAATAGAAAACAAACTCATTCCTCTCAGGTATTAGATGACAGTGGTACACACTATACATAAGCAACATTTCTTTTTAAGGCCATCTTTTCTTTTTCCATATGCAAGATGATTTAAATCGACCCCACTCCTCTGCCTCGTTAGACCTGTTTAAGTCCCTTTCACAGAATCTGAGATGTCTTTGATAAAAGGACAGGTTAACAGTCAAATCATTTAGAAGTTAAAAAGTGTTAGAGAGCCATCTATGTGATCTTGGAGGTCCCTGAGGTCACAACATTTCTTCTCTTTAGGTTCCTTTATGAAGGCACATTATAGGAATAGTGATGCCTTATATATATGTAGGATAAAGCAATGTATACCAAAATTGAGCATAAAACATTCCTTTTAGTACTAAAAGATTCAAAGGCTCATAAAACATTTTAGATACACATTTCTCTTGCTGCATGGAAAAGTTTCATATGAGGGTAAGAATTGTTGGATCACCTCTAAGTTCCCCTTCAACTCTGAGATGCTCTTAGGCCATGGAATGTCAC